AAAATCGTTAATGATACGTTTATATGGATCATTTACGGCATTTAAAATCGGAATATTATTATTGTTATTTTGAAAACAAGGAGTTCCATTGGTTGTTAAGAATGTAGTACCATCAATCAACTTGCGATTTTTAGAATCTACCAAAAGGTTAAAATTTGCAAGAAAATCCATGCCTATTATCGGTTTGTTTACGTCCGCAATTACAAAAGGCCATGTGAATGATCGTCTGAGTCCAAGATCAAGCTTGAGTAATTTTTGGCCATATGTTTTAATTTTCGTACCATTTGCAGCAAAGAGTTCTAATTTTGAGATGTTTTTTTTTATCTGCAGGCAAGGGAGGAATGACAGAAATTTCTGCCCCAGTATCTATTAAAAATTGGGTAGCCGATTCTTTGTCGCTGAAGAAAAGACGACTCAGCTGCACCCCTTGTCCCTCCGTCGTCAATGAGAGACGGGGAGCTGGTTTTCCAGACTATTTGTCTGTGATGCTGATGAGTAGTTGCAGGGTTGTTTACACACTTAAATGACTTATCACCGAATTTTTTATGATAGTAACAAATATCACTAGATCTGTTACCACTGTAACTCCTATCTCTTGATTTGGATCGGTTACGACAATAGGGACGACTGTGGCGTTGCTTGTTTAAAGCAGAAACTTGTAAGCTAAGTTCACTAACCTGTTTTTGTAAACTTTCAATCACTTCCGTTTTTACCGTTATGGATGATGCAGCAGCTATTTGGGGAGTAACAGGGTTTAATTCCCAAATCTTATCGGCCATTGTAGCCACTTTTGACAAATCTTCACTACTAACAGATATAATGCTACGCATATTAACGGGTAAACGTTGTAGCCACAATGTTTTTAGGAAAGTATCTGTTACTTTATCGCCAGCCAAATTACGCATCTCACACAGTAATTGAGATGGCTTTTTGTCACCCAGTTCTAACTCACTCAGTAATTTTTGGGTTTTTTGAGTCTCTGAATCAGCATATAATGAAATTAGTCTATTTTTAATTGCCTCATATTTATTATCTTGTGGTGGACTTAGCAAAATATCAGATACCTGTGACAAAATATCGGGTTCAATGGAACTTATAACATAATCATATTTTGTTTGATCTGCACTAATTTTTGCATTTCTAAATTGTGCTTCTAGTTGAATAAACCATATTTTAGGATCTGGCTTCCAAAAAGGAGGAACTTTAACGCTTACCTTGGCGACAGATGCAGTTGTTGCTTTAATTTCGGTTTCGTCTTCGTCAGCCATTGTAGAATTCGATCACGCCGGGATACACCAGTGAAGTGTCTGGTGTGCAAATATAGAAAAATAACACTTCTCTGACTCCTATGGAACCAATATTTTATTCCTTACGATGTTATAGATTCTTATTCATAAGATTTATTTACATTTTACATGCACGTAGCATCGCGTGACAAAAACTCGAAGTTTGTTTACTTCGTTCTTCGCGGAGACTAGAAGGTGTTGCCATTCCGGTTTAACTAAATTTCATTAGAAACTTAACGGAACTGAAGCGACACTACATGGTCCTTGATCTTTTTACGCGAAAAATTTATTTTCTTAACTTAATTTTATGTTTTGTAGCTCTGTAATTTCAGCTAAAGTCATGCAGTTTAAATAAACTCGCCCCCCCCCACCAATGCCTGATTTGCTAGGAATTAGTGCTTTCTTTCCTGGTCGCTCATTAGATAATGCACTTCTAAACCAGTTAGCTCCACCCTATGGACTTTTTCGGACGATTTTCCATCTGTTACTCTCGTTCCATCTGTTACTGAGGCCAAGCTGTGCACTGGCACATCATTGCCATAGTATTGATTTTTATTAGACGGACTTTATTAACAGAGTAATTCCTAGATATATATACGAAGACTTATTCATCGCCTGTAATGAGATTTTACCCTCAGCTTGGTTTTTCACATACGTCATGTATAAGAAAAGTTATGCGATGTTGCTACGCGGTTAAACGCAAGATGAGGAGCCCCCCCAGGAGCCTGACCAAACGTGATATGCACATAAGTCTTCAACAGCAATATCTCAAAATAATTTTTAAATGAGCATATCTTTAGAATTTCCGATACATAGTTTCGCACTCTGAAGATATAAATGTTTTTTTTTTTTCTTTTTTCTTTTTTTTTTTTTTTTTTTTTTTTTTTTTTTCCGTTTAGTGTTGCCATTGCTCGATTTTAAATCTTTGAGTTTGTTAATAAAAAATTCGATAAAGTTTTACATAATATGAAAACAAAACATACTCCAAATTCCAAATTTAGGCTTCCAGACGCCCATATTCGGGTGCAGGATTACGTTATTCAAAATTTGATGGCTTTAGGTACTGATGTTTTATCACAGTGCCAGAAAAATACATTCATTTATGCTGATTCTTCTTTATTTTATTTCTTTAAATACAATACAGGGCTCTAATATTTGGTGGCAACAATTTGAAAAATGAACCAACATTTCAAAGTAAAATGCCAAAACGAAATTAATAGTCTTTCTGGCAGATTGCCCCTTTGGACTAAAAACGCATTTACAGTGTTACACATTTACTGCGTTTAATGTGAATAAACGTAAAATCATAGTTCGCGACGTAGCCCTTCTGGGATAATAGTAATATGCTTTCATAGTGGCTATTGCCACCAATGCAAGAACTGTTGTTCATAACGCGAATAATATATTCTAGGTAGAATTGGCTCACTAAGAGAAAAATAAATGCGGGTGTATGAAACAATGTGCACTTTTAGACACAAGATATGCTAATTTAACAGTGGTGGGAAATTTATCTAATGATTCATTGAAACTGATACTTTTGCCAGTGAATTTGAATTTGTCTTATATAGTCTTGAACAATCTAAAGTCTTATATTTGTGCGAAGAAATTTGAGCTGTCATACAGTGGCTGGTCAAAAGCTCGAAAAGTCTTAGGTGGCCGGAGGCCACAAGTTTCGAGTTCCTGGGCCGAAGAACATTAAAGTTCCAAAAAAATCCCAGTAGAACATTTTAGTTTTTTTTACATCCCAGTAGAAGTGTTTTTTACATCATAAAGAACCTAAGTTGTGTCTATTTATTATGATTCTACTGTGATTACATGCATTTTCAAGCATGATTACATGTATTTTCCCGAGGATTATGAAAAATAAAATTGAATTAGATATCCATTTTGTTTAAATGTACCAGAAATTTTGTATCGTAAAGTCAAAAAAAAAAAAAAAAAAAAAAAAAAAAAAAAAAAAAAAATCCTGTAATCGAACTCTAACTGAAGAATTCAAAAATAACACACCTGTTCACTTTGGCTGAACCCCTCCCCCCCAAAAAAATAAAGGCATTTAAAATAAAGCTATTAAATTTTTTATTGCCTTTTTGCACAATGTATTTGTGTGAACAAGAATTTTCGGTACTTTTCCGTTTTGCCGGCGCAAAAGATAAAGTCGCCAATAATCGTACAACTGATGCCAAACGCAATATCTTCTCTGGTAACATTTTATTCCTCATTTTCAAAACACGTCGCAGCCATTTTTTTTACCAGATTGATTGTTTTTTCAATACGGGCATAAAATTACATAGAATATTTACAAAGATAATTAAATTTTATGCCGTAAGACCATTCGCAGTAATTAAATCAATTAGAATGCAATCACACCGCTCACCCGAAGGCGAAAGTATAGAAAACGCAAAGTCAAGCGTTAAATTGATCCATTCTAATGAGAATGCACTAGCGAAGTAAAGCACTGCGGTTTTACATAATTTCTGAGTAAGCTATTCGTACGAATTGTAATAATTCTTGCATTTAAACTTGTATTCCAAATTAATATTTAACTTGAAATTAATGTACTATATAATTACTGAGATAATTATATTTTTGTAAAGCAGTTTACGTGAGATGAGAACACTTGAGGTCATGTGATACGAACCGGCGAATCAGGATGTTGAACCATGATAGCATAGTAAATTCTTAAATTAATATTTTTTACAAATTTATTGTCTTTATTTATTGGATTTTTACAAAATTTTAAACCCTATTAAAATGTGTATGCCTTCAAAATACAAATTTCTTAGAACTAACATTTGTTAATATTTTTTATGTGTATAACTGTATGTTGTCGCCAATAAAGTCTGGTTGGCGAGATTTGCGTCGACGAAACGGAAAAGTACCGAATTTTCTTTCATGTTGTATTTGAAAAATAAACACAGAACAAAACTCAAAGTGGATCCTAATTTACGGTTAAAATTGAGTAAAACATAAAGAAATTAATCTCTCTTAAGCAGGCTCAAATTTCCTCTAAATTTTAGAATTAAAGAATTATAACTTAAACTTTGATAATTAAAATGGTAACTAATTTTTAATCTAATATTTTTTTGTGTGTGCATATTTAATATAAATAGCCAACAGGTTGTGCAAATGGGCAAAATATGTTTTTTTTTTTTTTAAATATTTCTACTCAGTAAAAAAAAATCATTATAAAATGCAATGGTTGTACTAAAAGTTTTTAAAATTTTTGTTTAGATGGCACGTGTTAGTCAAAAAGGTTGAGAATCGCTATCCATACCTTATGGATAAAGAATAAAGAAATAAGAGTAAGAAAGACCGATTTTGATCTCTTAGCCAACTTTTTTATCCCCTTTTGATAATTTATTTACATTATTTTATGTATATGTTATTTTACTTTTTTGTGTACAAAAATATTTTAACAATTAATAATTAATAAAAGAAAACTAAGTATCTGTCTAGCTTTCTTTTTAGGTTTGCGGCAATTTCCTTACGTTAATTTAGGTATGTTACTTTGTTTTTTAGAGGAGATGCTGTTTTATTTTAAAGCGGTAAAAAAGATTTTTATGTGATAATCTTCTTACGACTAATAAGTAACAACATTATATGAAAATAATCTTGTTAGGAAAATATTTTTTCTGATGCGATAATATCTATGCGACGTATAACAAGATATAAGACATGAATATTTTTTACAAGTTATTACTAATAAATTTTTACCTCTAGGATTTTTATTTGAGCTGAAACCAGCCCAAATTCTCCATTTCTGAATACAACTTTATCGTCCTAAAGAAAGAATAAAAATATTATAAATTTTATAAAAAATTAATTATAATTTTTTATCATTTTTCTAAGAGTCATTAAAATTCATACATTTATAGTACTTCAATAAATAATTTGACATTCTGTCCTAATACCCATAATCTTGAAATTTCAGTATGCTGAAAATTCTGTTAATTAAAATATAATCCGTCACTAATCCCCTATGATCCCAACTTGACATATAATCAAAAGATTTCTTTAGTCAGCGAATTAAATTTTCTGGAGTCTTAACCACGCTAAAAAAAAAATCTTTGTTTTGCTTTTAATGATTCAGATTCTAACCTCATGAAACTTCGACTTTAAAAGAGAAACTGAGTTGTCAGTTGTTTCTCTTCCAATTTTCCATCAATAGATGGCGTTAGGTATTTCTTTTTCTACCAAATTTGAAGAATTTTTTGCGTATGATCTCTTTCTGGTTTTGATCTCTTTTTGGTTCACATTATTCTGAATCTTATTATTAAGGAAAGTGCACGAACTCAATTAATACACAAAAAAATGCGAAATGTTTCAGATTTTAAATTACGTCCAAAGGGGCGTTTTTTAACATTTTGTGTGTTACCTTTCTTTATTAAATACGTTCCTCGCACTTAAACCATAAGATCCAGTGCAACAGCAATATCGCAAAATAGTTTTAAAACGAGCATATCTTTAGAATTTCCGATACAGAGACTCACGCGCTGGAGATAAAAATGTTTTTTCTGCACAACGTTGCCATTGCTTGCTTTGAAATCCTTGAGTTTGTTAATCAAAAATTCGTCAAAGTTTTAAAAAATAGGAAATCGATCATAAAACAAATTTCAAATTTCAAATTTGGTCTTCCACATGCTCATATTCGTTGGAGGATTACGTTATTCAAAATTCGATGACTCTATGTACCGTTATTTTATGACAATGTGAGAAATATACATACATTTACGCAGATTTTCATTATTTAATTTCTTCAAATATAATGCAGGACTCTAACATTTTATGGCAACAGTTTGAAAAGTGAACCGACATTTATCCGTCCGACGCAAAATGCCAAAACGAAACTAATAGTCCTTCGGGATTCAAATCCCTTTGGACTAATAATTCAATATGTTCATTTTAATGTAGATTTTTTGTGGCAACAGTGATGTTTTCGTTTACATATGCTTTGAGCGTGATAACGCACGGAATGTTCCTATTTTTCATATGTTTAGAATGCTAAATAAATAGGTCCGTTGTTAATTAAAAAGGTTTTCTCTACGAATTATATTTCCATTCCTCCAAAGTTATTAAAATAAGTTAAGAAATTGTTTAATTTCAAACAACTGGCCTTATTTGACAGGACGGAATGGCTATTTGAAGAAAACAAAACATCGAGTTCGTATTGGAATTTATCAAGTGAGTTTATGATTTATTTGATTATATCCTTTATTATTTGATTATATTGGACATACTGAATTTAAAATCATGGAAATCTTATTACGAAAGCGTAAGCCTCTAAGGCAATTGTTTACGATTACTGCCAATGCTTTAGATGCTGAAATTCTAAAGCCTGACGTGGAGATTAATCAACTCCAAGTATTGAGCTCGCAAATTAGAAGGTAAATTCAACAGATAAGATGAAGTTCAATCACAAATTTTCGAACTTTTGTTGGAAAGTGAATATTTGGCTGATTTTGACACGAATGAAACATACCGCTTCGTGAACATAGTTCATTTCCTCGGGCTCCTGGGAAGACTCCCTATCCCAATATAATATGTATACAGCTTTCCGAACATTGATGATCATAAAGTGAAGTTTTGAGCAACATAAGATAAAAGAGGAAAGAGTTCTGGGAAATCTGTAGCAGCAGAGAGCAATTCTGTAGAAAGTCCGATGAGGTACAGTAATCAGTATATGAGACATGTAGATTGTTGAAGCGAAATATATTCGATAGCTACTCTGTGATGAGATGTACAGCTTCATCGTAGGAGTGCAGCAGCTGAAAGGTATTCGATAGCCAGAGGTAGATGTAGCTTTGTCAGGAGCAAGAAGAGAGCAAGCATATTGCGTCCAGTGTAATTTGTGTGCTAGGGGGAGGGGCTATAGGCTCTTTCCAGACCATACAAATTTAGAAGAACGGCCGAACAGTAATAAGGGGGCGGAGTTACTTTAGAAAAGGAAACATATCGTGGTAAAAAGTTTACAATTGGGTGCCCCTTGTTTTTTGGCGATTCTTTTTTGACGCCAAGATAGGGCCAGGACGGAACAATTTCAGGTGCTACTTTGGTAGAAGGTTGCACGGATTTTTGGCGATTTACTTTAGCGCAATTGTTGGCGTGGTTTTTACAATCGTCAGCCATATTGAAAAACACTGTTTTTACGTATTTTGCGCATACTAAGTATTCGAAACTCCAAAAAAATAAATATTGTTAAAAATAATGGATTATTTTTTTTTGTTGAAAACGTTGTTTTTTAAGATGGCAGACAAATGTAAATAAATACATTTACTACGAGTATAAAATACTAAAGTAAGGTAAAATTATTACTTTCATATAGCAAAGAAATAGAATAAAAACACCGCTATAAAAACATTACGCCAACGTTTAATTGGATTAAAATATTACGTAAACTGAATATCGAATTCAAAACCATCATACCAACGTTTAAAAGAATTAAAATATTAGTTAAATTCAAATACTTAAAAATAAGTAAATAAGAACGCTTCGTACACTAAAGCTAAAATGACAGCAATTAGTTTATTGCCGGTAAAATAGGAGGAATGTGTAATACTTTTTTTACCGTTACAGCGATTATTTCTTCCACCGTGACCGCAATACCATATACGGCCGTCCTCAGAATCGACTCTTCTACCGATCTCCATCTGTGATCCCCATTTCTCGCACTTCATTGAAGAAGCAATTAGAGAGGTTTCCTTCAAAAATTTTATTTTCTTCTGACCCTTGTAGCAATTTATAAATAAATCTTTGATTAGGAAAGCCATGTCGGGTCTCAAAATAAGGTCTTAAAGGACAATTTTTTTATTCCGATACCAATAATTTTTGGTATTTACCAATAACAACATTAATCTTTGAAAGGGAAATATCTGTTTCCTATGAAATTAAAGGAATTCGAAGAGATGAATAATAAAATTTTAAAATGGCGCGGTAATGCACAAATATTTTGTAACCAATCAGGGAGCTGACTACATCACGCCTAGAATTAAAATTATTTAAATAATCATACATATTAAAATCATTTTTCAAAACAAAATGCAAAATTAAATTGTATTTTAATATTTAACAGCCATAAATAATGTTTAAAACATTAGATTAAATTCATAGATATTAAAACCAATTACTTTTAAAGCAAGGTGATGTTATTGATTACATCATCCACAACATAAATTATCCAAAATATCATTAACAAAATTTTTATTTCAAATAAAAAATGAAAAATTAAATTGATTTTTAATATTTAGAAGCCATAAATAATATTTAAAACACGAAATTTAAGCATAATGAAACGCATTATTCTTTTTAATAAAATGACAACAAAGTATCGGTTACCATAAATAACATGTCCAGCAATGTGTTTACCATAAGTCGTATAGCTCGCCAAAAAATCTCACCAAAATCCGTGAAACCTTCTACCAAAGTAGCACCCAATTTCAAGATGGCCGCTACACAAAACAAAAATAAAAAGTCAAAGAATTGCACAAACTCTGTGTCCATGTACACATCGATCTGTTTTCACTTAAAAAACATCCCAGAATTGCACAAACTAGGCATTGCGCACTGCCTTAAATTTGTCCATGTACACATCAATCTATTTTCATTTAAAAAAAATCAGGAAGCTAAAACAAAGTTAAACTATCATGGTAACCAGAAATGAGGTTTCATCGCCAAAATTAAGAAAAAAATATCGCTAATCGAAGGTGCACCCAATTCTACACTAGAGCCCATATCGTGATAAATATATCAGTTTAGGAACAAAAGTAGAAAATAAAATGGTGAATTCCATTCCTGTAATTACACCTGGAACTTTAGAAAATTCCACAAAGAGGAACTTTAAATTACCAAAGTTGGAGCTTCAAAAATTCAATCGGGAGACCTGAAATTGGTTAGGATTTTGGGGACAAGTTAAGAAGATCGACGAAGATGTAAATATAGATGACGATGACAAATTTTAATACATATTGCAGGCAACTGTCGTTGGATCCCAGCGAGAGAGCTCATAGATAGTTATCCTCCCTCAGGTGCGAATTATAAAGAAGCTATCAAGCAGTTAAAATCTTGATTTGCACGCGACGAATTATTGGTAGAAATCTATGTTCGCGAATTACTGGTAAAAATTACGATTGCGACGAATTATTGGTAGAAATCGATGTTCGCGAAGTTGGTTTTGGCTGAAGCTGGCAGAAAAGGAAATGTTCTAACTTATCTGATAAGTTAGAGACGCAACTCAGAGCTTTGGAGACGTTGAGGGTAAAAGGTGAGATTTATGCAGCTATGCTGTATCCCTTTGTAGAGTCTTCATTACCTGAAGAAATTCTGAGGGCATGGGAGCTAGCTCGCCAGCGTAGGGAAAGTGTTGCACATACTGAAAATTTGCGAAATTTATTACATTTTCTCCGAATTGAAGTTGAAAGTGAAGAATGTCTTCAGTTGCCCCGTACGAGTTTTTCTGCTCCAGACAAAGTTGGCTCGGTTCCAGCCACAGCAGCTTGTATTTATGCAGGAGATTCAAAGAAGAAACAGCTTGATTTTTGTGTTTGGTGTGACAAGGAAACACATAATTCCTATTAGTACTTTAAACTGCACAGCCTTTCATTGAAAGACAAGAAAATTTACTAAGTAAGTTAATTACTAATTTAATCACAATTACTAATTATTAAGTAAGAAAAAAGCTTGTTTTAATTTCCTGAAAATTGGGCATGCTGCCGAAAAGTGTAAAGGTTCTGTGAAATGCCTATTATCCAGCAAACGTCATGTAACGGTGATGTGCAGAGAACTAA